TTGAAATAGAAGGTGGAAATGAATCCAAGAAAGAGCAGAGTGATATTTCACTATGATCTATTTCTTTAAGCAATTGGTAACTTGTTAACTTAACTTATTACTTGTAGTAGTCACAATATTTCAGCCTTGTGTTTATAGCTACTGCCACAGGACACAAGTGGCCATAAAAGAAATCAGCTAATGTATATTTAAGGGTTATATATATACAACACTTGCCACTGGATGTTTCACTACAGCACCAGCATCTCAGACGAAAACAATGGGATAGTGACAGAAAAAGTCACCAAAACTGCCTTCGTTCGTCTTTCCAGTACGTGTCTGAGATTATGGAAAGGATCCCTACAGCGACAGACTTTTTGTTTAACCAGAAACAGCCATAATATCACTATAGTTATTGTTCACAACCAAATATTTATATATAGTATATATAATTTCCCCTTGCATATCATTGTACTCACCAAACCATAACAAACATCTTTGTTAGTCTTTCTACTGTTCCAAAAACCACCAACTCTGGTTTGAAATCTTCAATGCACCAACATAGATGACGCTTTACTCAACTGCACACGCAGCAGACCGGTTATGTAAACAACCCACAGAGTGGCTGCGATAGCAACACAGGCAGAGGGAGTGGGACTTCATTCTCAATCAGGACACCATGACTCTACTGTATCTTTTCATAACAGATAGATGTGTGCTGCTATATTCATGTTTAAAATCTTATATATATATATGTGTGTGTGTATTTAAAGTCTTATATCTGTGTTGAACTGTACCTTGTATGCTAATCTCTAGCATTAGTATTCTGTTGCTGTTCAGCCACATAATATAATTAAAAACACCCAGACCCAAATTGACATCTTGTTTATTAGCACATAACATATACTCCCTTTGTTAATATATCAAACAACTCTGCAACTCTGTTTAATTTGCTCCCATTAAAAAGCGTCTGCTCTGGCAACATGGCTTGATCCCTCATTTTCCCTTCAATTAGTCAGGCGTTGTGGGCGTTGTCTGTCACATCCTGTGCTTTCATGCTCTCTTACAGTTGCCCTTTTTCATGCTCCCTCTCTCAGCGTGAACAAAAAGGGTCACGCGATGAGGATCCATCCATTAGGAAGGAGGATACAGCAGGAATGTTCCACTTGGTGACACAGTGTTTTTGCTCAGGAGAAGTGGGCTCACTGTGTGTGTTTCCTGTTTAGTCACATAACCTGAAGAGCAGTTATGGTCCGTGGAGGTTTGGGGAAGACTATTGTCTCAGGAATAATTTTCTCTGAGGCCGTTAACCTTTGCAGTTTAAAGGGTTGGTTCACCCAAATAATAACACATTTACTTACTCACTTTTAGTATCAGCGCTAGTTTGTGTTTTGTTCTCTACGTTTTAAGATACTTGTCTCTGATATTGTTGCCTACACTTTATTACAGTGGAGATTTCATTGGATTTCTGTTGATTAAAACATTGAAAAAGTACATAAAAATTAAAACAACATCCCCAGTCTCTAGACAATATTCCGACCATGTTACTCTGAATAATCCACAGACTGTCAAAAGTTTACTGTGGTTCTACTTTCTATCAAACAAATAGTGAAAGCTGATCATACAGTTTTCAATCCTCCTCTTTTTGGTGCATTTTCAATTAGTTGAAATGGCGGAGTGCAGTATAAACAGACTTGTGACTCAAGCTTCTACTCCACAAAATGGACGAAAAAGAGCAGATGAAAACAGACGTGTGGAGTGATAAAGAGACCATCATGTTCCACAAATGAAAACAAACAATATATTTCCATCACATATTCATTTTGTTACCCGCTCTCCCTCTGCAATGGTTGACTGGAGAAATCATCTGTTTATCTTGATGAGTCCAACTTCTTACATTCACATAATAGTAGTGGATGTAAAAGCGCATGAATTCACTTTTTCTCTTGCAAAGTAACTGGAAATTCTATCAAATTATGCCCTCCATTTGGATGGAAACGTACATTTTCAGAGCAAAACGAGTTGTACGTTCACTTTTATGTAACCATCCTCTGGCTAAGGTATAACCTGCTTAACAAAAGAGGCTTGGTCCAGAGCCTGTTGTGGGACAACTGTTGAAGGCACTGATACAGCTCTTGAATAAACTGTGTTAACTCTTTGTCCGGTTAGCTAATGAGCTAGCTCTTTCTTAGTGAGCTATCACCTTTGGTTACCCTCCACTAACTTTAATGGAGATAAAATTATTTAATAGTGCTGCAATTCTATATTTTACATTTTCTAAGTAAAAAGAATAATTTCTCGGTGGTTGTGAATCTCACAAAAATGTATCCACCATTTTACAATAGCTTCTTTTACAGTGTAAGCTTATAGGAAACAGTGGGCCAGTGTGCATCCTGTTGTAATTACAAGGTTTGACCACTATGTCAAATTGGCTCTCAAGCACGGTGCTCTTTGTGGGAGCTTGGTAAGTCCTAGCTGGCCCCAATTTGCTATCATGTTCCAGGCTAGTAAGCAAACTGTTGATACGGGTTAGCTCACTACCTCCAGTTGTGCGTCAATCATTCCTTTGAGCAGACACTATGTTAATAAGCTTCCATTGCCAACTTTTACACTAAATATATAATAATAAATAAAATGGCTAGGCTATAAGTGGTACTCTTTGTGGAAAGATACATTGCTGTATCAAACCAAATCTGTATGATTGGATATCTCCAGGGGTAGGTGTGTTTTTATCATTTAAGTGATTAAACCCTTAAATATTTTATTTGCAGGCTTTGAAAATGTCAATAAGTTCTAACAAGTAAACGCGGTCCCCTTTTGCAGGATGCATAATCCCTTCAGGTCACAATGTGCCCACTATTAAAAATGTAAAAATTGGTCTTATATATTATTATTATTATTTTTATCATTATTATTATTGTTATTATTATAGCAGGACATTGTAATAGTACCCCAAACACAGCCACCACTGCAGAGGGAAATGGGAGACAGTCCTGGCTTATATGGATAAATTAATAATTATACAGCAACCCACTAGAGACGACGGCATTCAGTATGTACAGTAACTAAGTTACTGTGGTCTCCGCCCACTCACAGCATAATGCATCTGCTATCATTACCCAGCATTGATAACCTTGGCTCAGCACTTCATCAACATGTGGCCTGTTGGGTAACTGGAGGCAAATTCTGGGGAAAGCTCGGCTATCTCACATTCCTCAGATGATATCATTAACTGTTTTATCTGGCCAGTGATCTTAATCATTGCAACTGCGTCTGTGATTATCTCATCTTTGCCAGTTGTCAGTTAGTTTAAAGGGGAGTCTCATGTTCCTCTTCCCTCTCGTTGCTGGTGACTGGGGCCAAAGACTTCCCGTCAGAGCTCCTCCAGCTGCATTCTTGTTGTTTATGGTCTGCCATTGATTTTGTTTTTGACAAAGGACAGGTTAATCTTTTTGTTGGTCTCACACTGACAGCTTATGATTTCCTTTGGGCATGCCGTCTTGTTTTCAATCAGTTCTTGCTTACCTTGCTCCTCCCCCCAGCCCCCCTTCCTCATTGCCCCCCGAGCAATTCCCTCGCCGTGCCTGCTCTGTGTGTCATCTTAAAACAGTAGTGACCAAATAGAACATCTGAAGTTCAGAAGTGTTTCATCAAAGCAGCTTTGTACAAGCGGGGAACCATCACGCCATTAGTAAAGGATTTGTTCCACTTCGGTAGCTTTGTCTGGAAAAACACCGCATGGATGAAGGTGTCAACGCGCTACCACTGCCAGCGTTTGTTTCACCCACCCCTGTGTAGCGGAATTCAATACAGCTGATAGATCACTCTCATTAGTTGAGTATTGAGTACCGGGAGCCAAAAAGCTGACACTTTTCCGCTGAAGAGAGAGTGAGGAAATACAAGAGCCCTATTAGCTGGATGTGGTGGGTTATGAAAGACAACCACAGGCTTAATGAAGGAGTCTGTCAAATCTATTAAGGCTGGCTGGTTCCACTCTCTCAGCTGGTCCAACACCAGCTAATTTGAAGAGAGTCCCTTTCGTTTGCTTGAGTGAAGTTGACAGACGTCACAGACAGTTTGCCCTCCATCCGTTTCAGCGCTACACTTTCATGAGTGGACTTTTTCACCTCCCTATTTCCAGCGAATTAAAGGGATCTGTCCGGTTATGTGACCGCTTGGCTCTGACGTGACATTCTTCAGAAACTGCGGTGACCCACAGTCATGCTGGCATCTGTCATTACAGACACGCCTGGCCGCACATCTGCCCAAGGTTAAAGAACCAAATAGGTCATTTTGCTTGGCTCAGCTTGTAATTTCCTGTGTTTTAAAGCAGAGGTTTATGCGCCAGTTCCCCCACAAAATCAGCTGCACTGAGACAAAAATGCAGAAAAAGGCATCTGCCAACTCTTTTTGAGTTTCATATCAATCCTCTCGGCTAGATAAGAGGAAATGTGGAGCTGAGGGAAACGGGTTTGATGTAGGTTAAAACTGCTCTAAGGTATCACAAGCTTATTTTGACAGTGCCAAGGAACATATAAAGTAAAGCTTGTGCATAATGTAGACTGCTTGTAAATGGGCGTTAGGCGAAGTTATGAAATAAGTGTGTTTGTAGGAACTTGTGTGTGTGAATTTCTGATGGTCTGCCCCTGATGGTCGGCTTTTCGGTCTGCCGACCGCCGGGATTTGACTGTCCTAGACCTACTGGTCTGGAAAAGCAAAGAAGGCAGTTTCACTAGTATAATTGGCAGCTTAGCTTTGCACTGAACTGCCTCCAGTTATGTATGAGACAGTTATTTTGCCAAATGTAATTTCGTGCAGTCGATGCAGTTTCATGTCTCATTATGACCTGCTCGGAAGTGCAGCATCATGATTTTCACTCTCCGATGTAACTGGACTTAGGCTCCTATCACCAGACCAAATATGCATGGTACAAAACAGATGCCAAACCTATTTTTTAAGTAGGTCAGTGTTCCATTTTTAGTTCCCTACCTCTCCTGATTGATGGTCTTTGTCATTTACAGATCTGAAAGCGAAAGTTCGAGAGGTGTCAGGTATGTACCGCCCAAATTTCTCCGCATACATTATCATTATTCTACCTCTAAACATAATGTAGACTTGTTTTCCACGCTACTCTGTCACATGCCATCTGACAAAAGCTCATTGGCTTTCTCTGAACCCTCCTGGACTTTCGCTACGTCGCAGCCTCACCTGTCAGTTCCACCCTATCCAGATAAGATTGTTCTTTCAGGAAGCGACGAGATCTTAGCGTACTTCCTGCGGTGTCTCCTCTCTGATTCTTATCTTTGCTTGATACATTTTACTACCAGGGCTGTCAACTGGGGGCCGGGTCTTGTCTGTAGTCACACTACTCTGACTTTGCACAGTCAGGGTTACTTACCTCCTCTTCTTACACTATATGACTTAAAAAATAAGAGGCAGTAATTAAAGCTAAAAAATGTCTGTTTCACACCATTTTCTGCATTTTATTATTTTTTAAGTTCTTGTCTTGAAATTATTTGAGATCATTTCAAGATAAGAGCAGCTGATTTGGGTATGAATACATGGATGGTTAGACTGTATAATTAAAAATGTATGTAGTCTTTGTGATGTCTGTGTCATGGTCCGGTCCGACCGTCGCCATCTTGCCAATCCTGCCTCCGCCGGCTCTCAGCTGACCTAAAAAGACGAGATAAAGAGGTGGAGTGTGGGTGGAGCTGAGGCGTGCCTGTGACCGGCTTAATCCTGCATAACTTTAAGCCTTAATATAATTTAAACGGGTGCTGTACATACAGTGGTCATGAATGGGGACATTAGCTTTAGAGACCAAAAGCCTTTGTACAAGGCTTTTACAACACATGTTTATTTCTACTGTTATTGACATTATTATACAGGGGCTTATGGAGATTGACTACTTTTTCAGCCAGTCTGCAGTTCTTGTTACTTCCGTGTAGTGCAGCAGAGCCTTTCCAGTGAGCCAACATGCACAATAGCAGCACCCTGACTGAACGGAACGTAACCTTAATTAGTATCATTCGTAACACATGTGTTTAGCCTACTCTTTCATGTGAAAATGGCTGCTGTGAAAAAGGCCTATTCAGATTAAGAATCAGGGTTTTTGCCAAGTAGGTTTTCACATATAAGGACTTTGCTGTGGTATTTTGGTGAATAACAAGACACATAGTATGAGAAAAATATTACAGAAGATGAAAGCAAGTACTGCAAGTCAAGAAGCATGAATTGACAATAAAAAAATATATTAAAAAACAATATGTACAGTAAGACCGTCATTTTAAATGGAAGCTGTACGGTACACTGTGTGGGAATGTTCAAAACAGTGTCCAGGAAATTACATACATCTGTAGTAAATGCTAAGAATTTCTGCTTGGCTTTAGCTTGCTAAAGTGCAGATTGTATAGCAGTAACTTACCAGTCAGTTATAGAATAATGTTTTTGTCAGGCTACAGGTGAATTTATGGTGCCTTATGGTTAGATTTGCAAGCAGAGTTATATTTCAGGTTATTTAGCTTTCATATCTAGATGAAAAATGTACTGCATTAGACTGTGTTGTGAATGAAGGTAACTGCTTCTATGACCATTTCCGGAGGTAGTTTGCATAATCGACTCCTTAATGCATCTTGGATACATTTTACACTTGAAATTGATGTGTTTTAGCTTTGTATGACAAGCCTCCAGGTGTTAATGCCAGGTGGGAAGGAAGTCCTCACAATGTATATGAACACAGGGATCTGTATTTCAGTCTCTCCATTATTAGGGGTGTCGGACAAACCCTGAAATCTTGAGTGCTTCTGACCACCTCATGTTGCAGGAACACTGCATGGTGCCCTGGGACAAAGTGAGATGTTAGAGAAGCGATGAATTGAAGGTTCGTCCCTAGGAGACATTGGAGTTAGACACTGTGAACATCTTGTTCTTTAAAAGTCAATCACCGGGTCAGCACAACACTTTTATCACTGTGATAGATGCTTCAGCTGGACAGGGCCGTGGCAGTGTGTGGCTGCAGGTCTGACAGCAGATAGAAGTGGACTTTGTGTGATAAATGAAAAGCTGGGGATACACCACTTTGCTAACATATATGCCATATAGTAGTGTACTACAATACCACTAATATGACTGCGTTTGATTGCATACTGTAGTATTGTTTTGTATTTTTATCCTGGGCTCAGTGTGATTTTATTTATTTTTGGGGCTATAATTGTCCTCATTATTGATTAAACTGTCGATTATTAAATTATTAAGTAAAACATCAGGAAACAGTGAAAAATGCTAATCACAAGTTCCGAGTCGATCCCTGTCTTTGAATAGCTTCTTTTTTCTGACCGAAGGTCCAAAACCCAAAACACCTTCAACTTCTAAAAAAAATTAGTCTTGGCCTTAAAAAGAATGTCCATATTAAATATTTATGTACATGTGCTGTATATATACTTATGAAGTGCTGAGGCTCAGTACCTTCAACTTTGCAAGTGGTTTACAAACTTGATAGCTTGATGGTTCCTCCGAAGCATTTTAAATCGTAAATGATACATAACTAACACTGTGGACTTTTTTACTAAGGTAAAAAAAAACGCCCAAAGAACCCTTATATCAACGATCATACACTATGACATGCTCCACTTAGCTGCACACCTCAGAAGATGACAGCACGTCTCCTAGCAACACCACTCCTCATATGTCAGTCAGCTGCCGCCATGGGAAACGCCCACCCAGATGCCTGAAGCTTAGACACTGTTTTCACAAAAACAATAAAAAAAAGTTTTATCCTCTTTTGAAAAATGTATTTATGCAAAACTGATCTATAGGACTGTGCACAGCGATGACAGCGACGGTCACAACGTGGCGCATCATCACAGTGCAGTCACTGACACAGCACTGTCTGCAGAGCATTTAGGAATCTACTACAGCATGGAAGCAACCTCTAGAGATTACATAATGCTAAAAATAGTACTCCCCATTGATGCATACAGTAGGAATATGTATGGACACATGTAAAACAACTGTAAATAGAATAGAAAGATTTCATGGAATACAATAAACATCTGTAATAGAAGGAGAATGAAGTATTGAAAAATAATATTTTTAATTCAATAATTTATTTTTATTTTATATATTTGGTCTGATATAATTGATATTTCTACAGACATGTGTCCTCACTGCAGCATACATACATATTCAAATAGTAAATATAAATAATATTTATAATATATTTAGTAATGTCATCTTGGGAACTAATTCTTTTGCCCCCAAGGGATTTTTCAAGGACCATATTGATCGATATATGATATTGGCTTTTTGAGGAATATTTGTGATATTACACCAACCCAGAAGAAACTTAAGGCCTTGTGCAGAGAAGATAATTCAGTGAAGATGCAGGCACTGTGAAACCCCAGTGAAAGAAGATTTAATCAGCCTATGAAATGGGAAAGAATTACAGGATTGAATTGTTGACAGAGTAAAGCCTCTCCCCCTTTATCGGGTCAAGGATAAACTCTCATGAGCTTATACTTTGGAAGGATATTGAAGCTGTGTAACAGCATTCAGTGCAATAACAGACAGATCTTCATAGTGCTGAAGAAATGGAATTACCTCAGCTCTAAACAGTAGCCCCACTTTAGCAGCGGACTATTGAGGAGGGTGGGGGCATGGTGAGTAGTAGCTTATGGTAATAAAACCCCCCAGCTCCACAGAGATGACTGTAGCTGCACTGTTCCACTTCATGTCTCCACTTCTGACCCCTGTGTGAGCCACCCAGACTCAATTGTGTCAGCATTGTCTTATTGGAGCTCCTGGATAAGAGCATTTTTATTGTAGTGATGTTTTGATGAAAGTGTAGGACAGCATACTGATAACTCCAGAGCGGAGGTTCCAACTCACCCTGCTGACAGAAAAATGACTTCTTTCTCCATTAGCAGCAAATTACAAAATGTACCTGCCACTCTGACAGTTTTACTAGCTAACAAGGTTTTTCATATGCAGTAAACTTACACTGAATGGTGGCACGGCAGGTGTCGTGCCAAGGGGTGTACAAATACAAGCTGCATTCAAATATTTACCAGCAGGTAGGTGGTGGTCATTTTCCACCACACAATGTCCACACTAGATATTTGTGTTTGCAAATTAGCTGTACAGTGAAAAGCAATAAATATACACCATGAAATTTTTTTTTCTGATCTAGCAGCTGGGAAGTTGACATTTTAGTCAGAGTGCTTCACATCCAGGAATGGATGGATTTAAGGCAAATATGTATACAGCTAGAACTGACAGAAAAGGCTCTGATCTTTAATGGATAATCTCAGTAGCAACAAGGCTTCTGCTTGAATTAATAATAACCCTTTATAAAATTTCATCCATCTTGTATATGTCAATGCTTTAACCTGACTCAATTTTTAATTAGTTAATTGTTGAATAGTAGCAGAAGAGTTTTTTTAAAGGTCGGCCTTCAGGCAAGGTTCTGCATTTACCAATCAAATATGAGCAGGAAACAGTGATCACTAATCCCCCTTAGATTATTGTGTGTAATGAATGGAACAATTCCGCAATTTACTTAGAAATTGTCAAGTTAGAGCATCAGATGATCGTCACTGTGGTTTTCATAGGATTATAAGCCACTATGCAGTGCTTTAACATCTGTTCAGACCCAAAATGATGCCTAATCTGAGACATAATCTATGGGAGACAAAAAAGTAACCTTGACCTGGTAAACTAATAATTTCTCAAGCTGGAATTCCTGGAATATTGGATGTTGGTACCTGTAGCAGTAGGACTTCACCAACAGAGCCCCTTAAATGCTTTGCTTTTTGGTTTAATGAACTACACTACCTGTGTTTCAGTTCTCTTTCCAACACAGTATTTTCACTATACTGCTAATGTAATGTCCCTTTCTCTGCAAAGTCTCTGGTCTGTATAGCAGTTTTTTTTTTGTTGTGACATTACTCAACAAGACAAATAGTTTTACATCATTTCTGTAATGCACTGTATGGAAATGAGGCTGGGCCTTATTCATTTTGCTCTTGACATTTTGCTGTTGCTCTCTTTT